AAAAGTTCCGAAAAGCCAGCCAGCTCTCCTATTTTTTTTTGTCTGCCGTGTGTAATTTAATTAATATGAACTGTCGTGCACCTAGTTGATATGTAGTGAATTTTAAAGTGATGATGATATTGATGAATTGAATAGGGGTATCGCAAGATACGACTTAATCCTTAATATTTTTTGCACTACGAAATAGGACAAAGTTCCCAGAGGCGTTTTTTACGGCGGGTATATATTTTTATTTTTTTTAACATGTCCGAGAGCATATATGCATGTATCTATATTGTTGTGCTGCGAATAATGGTAAAGCGGAGAAGCAAGTTTGATTTTGTTGTCGTTTAGTTCCTTTCTTGAAATATTTTAGATATGACTGCTACGCAATCAACATACAAAATAGGTGTGGAAATACTATTCTCTTATGTCCGGAAGGGAGATACCTTCTATTTAATTATTAGCATGGATGGCTTCGTTCAACCCAATGCAGCTTCGCTCTATACCGCGATGCGTCAGGAAATGCTTACATGTTGAATTTAGATCAGGTAAAGTAAAAAGACAAATATAAAAAAAATCCGAGATTATACGTGTTAAATTTCGATAAATTATAAATTAAAGGGCTATTTATGTCACTTTTGTTTTACTTTTAGATTCTTTTCCTTAATCGGTTTACCTGAATGCCGCTTTTAGGTTTGTGTACTCGTTTAGTAGAGATTTTTCTATTTCCTCATCGCTTTTTTTTTCGTACGCACATGCAACTGCTCTAAAGGTTCTGAATTTATTAAAGTGTTTGAAGCATTTGGACAGGAATTCTAAACTTATCTCTTCTATTTCGAATTGGTTTTTTTTTGACTTATTTATTGTTTCGTGCGCAAATCACTGCATTTAACATTTGCCATCCAACTCGACCTACTTCCTTGTCGGAGGAGAGGCAACTCAAAAGTACTGGTATCCCATTCAATTTAAATTTAAGTAAAATATAGTCTTAGGCTGTGTTGTGTGTATGCTTGTCAAAGTAAGGAGGAATATGTCAAGGAATAAATCGTCTTCTAGGTTTTTACCGTTTATGTTGTTTTCAATAATCGTGTGGGTTCATGGAGGTAGGAGGGGGTGATCCTATTGAGATGAACGTCTTCTTAAGAAGGTGCGGGTGGTGTTATTAAGGAAGGTTAAGATCGAAAGGTCCGTGGATAATACCCCTCTGCGGTTGAGGTTATCTTTTTTCTTTTTTTTTTCACTCCAACCTCTTGACCTTTATTGGTCTGGACATAGAAAGTAAAAGTAAAAGAAAAAATCCAGTGATTCGCTTTTGTTGTCGAGCTTCTGTCTTTTATCTAAACAATACCAGTAATTCTCACTGATCCGTACCGTATATGTTTTTGTTTTTTTTGACAGGGACGGGATGAGAGCGCACCGCTCCCTTAAACCGCGTCTTTTGGTAGTCCGAGGTGTGTGAGGGGTGGATCATTGAAGCGTAAAGGAGGGCTTTTTCATAGCGATGCGATCGCCCTAACCTGACTTTTGTGCACTAAACGATGTTGTTAGTTCGTCTTATCACGACAGGTGGATGCGATGTGGCTTCACAAAGTCCATGAAAGGCGAGTCTTTACGAGGTCCATCGCGGGTCGCCCATGGACGACACCCACGAATACCACACGGTTTATTTTACCTTTTCTTTAATATATTGGTGAGGGTAGAGAGTTTATAATTGATCTTTCTTGGTGCATTTAAACTCCAAAGCATATTTATTACAGATAAATACAAATAAATACAGATATAAATAAATATATGTATATATTTACACATGCATATATATATATATATATATAAAGATATAGATTGCACTGCA